AGTATAGGGAAGGATTTTCTAAACCGGACATCAATTGCTCAGGAAATAAGGTCAAGAATCAACAAATGGGACCTCATTAAACTAAAAATCTTCTGTACATCAAAGAAGCAATCAAGGAAGTGAAGAGAAAACCCACAAAATTGGAGAAAATCTTCACCAGTGACACACAACACATCTGACAGATGTTTAACATCCAGAATATATAAAGAAATCATAAAACAAAGAATTAAGAAAGGAAGGAAACCATTACAAGATGGACTAAGGAACTGAACAGAGTTCTCAAAAGAAGAAATAAAGATGGCTAAGAGGCATCTTAAAAGGTGTCAGCATCATTAGTAATTAGGAAAAAGCAAATTAAAACCACTTTAAGATTTCATCTTATCCCAGTCAGACTGACTAAAGATCAAGAGAACAAATACCAAATGTTGGAGAGGATGTGGGGAAAGGGGAACGCTCATCTGCTGCTGGTGGGGCTACCAACTTGTTCAACCCCTATGGAAAGCAGTGTAGAGAACCCTTAAAAAAACTAAAAAAAACTACAAATGAACCTACCATTTGACCCAGTTATACCGCTCCTTGGCACACACCCCAAGAACTCATCCCAGCACAGAGACACTTGTACATCCATGTTGAGGGACACATGTACATCCTTGTTTGTTGCTGCTCTTTTCACAATAGCTAAGGAATGGAAGCAGCCTAAGTGTCCCTCGATGAGTGGATAATGAAAATGTGGTTCATTTATACGATGGAATTTTACTCAGCAGTAAAGAAAGATGAAATCATGAAATCTGCATGTAAATGGATGGAACTAGAAACTATTATACTAAGTAAAGTAACACAGACTCAGAAAAACAAACGACATATGTTCTCCCTTATATGTGGATCCTAGCACCAAATCGTTAAGTAACACAGACTCAGAAAAAAAACTGACATATGTTCTCCCTCATATGTGGGTCCTAGAACGAAACCCTGATAAGTGAGTGTGTATCCAGATATAACTACAGGAACTACAGGAACCAGGATAATGAAAAGGAACCAGGGAGGCAAAGGAAAAGAAAGAAGCCGAGAGAGAAGAAGAGTAGGAATCAGGTGTTACTAAGGGAGATATGGATAAAAATGGGGCCATTTAAATGGGAGTGGGGAGGGAGGGTTATACAAGGAACCTTGGGGATAAAGGGAAAGAAGGATCTCAAGAGAGGTGGGACCATAGGAGAAGGCTATTATTAAGGGAGAAATGGGAAAAGGGGGGTACTTTAAATGGGGAAACCATGGTGGCAGGGTTAGACAGTGAGAGAGATAAATATTGCCTAGCTAGTTGTAAAAAAAGGGGGAACC